GGTTGCAGGCCGGTTCCCTGCAGGCCAGTTCCCGGCAGGGGATGCATGAAAGGCAACCATACATTGATGTTTCTCTCCCTCTCTCCTTCCCTTCCCTTCTAAAGATAAATAAATAAAATCTTTATAAAAAAATCAATGAAATTAAAAAAAAAGTCTCTTCTGCGCCCCCAGGCATGACCTACCTCCCCCAGAAAACCCGAAGGAGGACAAGACCGACAAAGCTTTCTAGCTCCCTGGAGACGGGCCTCGTTTTCTGTTTTCTTGTTCAGCGCTGTGGAAAGGGTTAAAGCGCTTACGGAGAGCGAGGTCCCCCCTCACCCGCCCGCCCAGGCCCCTCCCCGACAGCTCTTGAGATGCTCTGCAAAGGTCAGATGTTTCCAGAATCTCAACAGACTGCCTGTGTCTGTTTAAAGAGAGAGACCAGTCCTCGGCCCCCAGCCAGCTCCCCAGGCAGCCCTCGTGGGCAGCGCCCGCCTGGCTCTGTGGGCAGCGGGCCAGGGGCCCGGCCGAGAGCACCTGCCCTTCCCCCTCCTGAGGGCCCCCGGGGGCGGGCCTGAGTTCTCCAAAGTCCAGCCTGAAGTCCGGAGTCTGGGGAAGGTTGGCATGTCATAAACAGGGCACAAGTATCTGGGCCTGGGATGCCCCGGGGAACAGTGGGGGAGGGGCAGCTCCCCGTGGACACGAGATGTATTCAGCTGAAAGGGACTGTATTCTGGACCGTCATGGTAGAGATGAGGATCATCAGAGGGGTGGCTGTGCTGTCACGTAGAAAATCCTGGGCCCTGGCTGGGCGGCTCATTTGGTTGGAGCATCATCCCGTTCACCAGAATGTTGTGGGTTCAATTCCTGGTCGGGGCGTACAGCAGGCAACTGGGCAATGTTTCTCTCTCAAACTGATGTTTATCTCTCTCTTCCTTTCTCTCTCAGATCAATAAAAACATATCTTTGGGGAAAGATTAGACATAAAGAAATAGAGAGAGAAAGAGAGGAAGGAAGGAAGGAAGGAAGGAAGGAAGGAAGGAAGGAAGGAAGGAAGGAAGGAAGGAAGGAAAAAGAAAACCCTGCTTTCTCTGAGATGTATCCAAATTGTCAATGTCACTACTCTCCAGCTACGGGACTGTACTGAAGTAAAATCAGGGTCACCTGAACACAGGCATTGCGGCACCTCCACAGCCCATCTGATAACAGAGCCAGCTACAAAGTGGCTACAGGGTGGAGACTCTGGACCGGGCGACAGTTCCCATGGGGGGTTGCCCGGTGGGAGAGTTCATCTCACTGCTCAGAACAGCGTGCAATTTAACCCTTGTGAATTGTTCATTTCTGGAATTGCCCATTTAATGTTCCAGACTGAGGTTGCCCATGGATAAGAGGTAGAGTAATATATATATATTTGGGGTAGATATATAGGTTTATAAGATTGGATTCAGACCTAGTCCTCTCTGACTGCAAAGTGTACATTATGTTTTGGAGTTGCTACTAGGAACGTCAATGTGAAGAGAAGGGCCTGCAGCGGATGGCTGTCTCCTTCCCAGGGCTCACCGACATTTCCAGCTCCCCTCCCTCTGGGCACATGAAGGGTTGGACATCCACATGCTCTGGAAACTAGATGTCACCACGTGACTGCCGTTGGCCAGTGAAACGTAGGGGAAAGTGGCATGTCTCCCTTGCACTGGTGACCCCTGCAGTCTCACGCTGGGAAGGTGGCACCCTAAGATGACAGCGGTGCTATGATGACTCAGGTGCTGGCTGCCTAGAGCTGAGCCCTTGCCAGCCATGTTGGGAATGAAGCCAAGAAATATGTCCTTGTTGTTTTAAGCCACTGAGATGCTCAGGGGTGTTTGTTACCACGGCATACCCTAGCCTGTCCTGACTGATGGAGGAGTTCCATGTCCAAATCTACATTTTCCTGTAGTTTTCATCGCTGCACAAGGAGAAGAATCCATCCGTAATTCTGGGAGCATAACACACACACTGCTGTGCAACGTCCCTCTTATGCTTAAAACCCACCATTTCCTAGATCATTTTACATAGATCTACTTCATTCTTTTTGTCAGGATGGACAGGGTAGGACAAAATGGCACTGGACTACAATCCAAAATGGCGTCTGGACTACAATCCAAAATGGCGGCTGAGGTTAAACCAGAGAGGTGAAAGGGTGGGCTTTGCCAAAGCGGATATCCGCATAGCAACCTGAGCCTGAGGAAAACCACCAATGATGTATTTCCGCTTTGTTCAAAGGGGACCAATCCCCAGCTCCCATGGAGAGCCAACGAAAATAAAACCCCGCCACATTCCCTGCTCCAGCAGCGACTTCTCTGGCTCCGCACTTTGAGGACTGTAGAATCTCACCCGGGTGCCCAAACCCCAATAAAGCTCTTTATTGCCTGACTTTGTGGCTGATTGGCATTTCTTTCTCAGCAGAGCCTGAGAAAACCTTTCACTTTTTATTTTTTATTTATTGATTTTTAGAGAGGAGGGGAGGGAGAGAGAGAGAGTAAAAGTAAAAGAGAGAAACATCAATTTGTTGTTCTGTTTATTGATGCATTCACGATTCTTGCCTGAGCCCTGACTGGGGATCAAACCTGCAACCTCAGCATGTTGTGATGATTCCCTAACCAGATGAGCCACTAGGCCAGGGCCTTGTCCTATTCTTTTTAACAGCTGTATAGTATTCTAACCCTCAGGTATACCGTGATGTACTGTAACTGACCACTGTGGAGAGACTTCTAGGTTCTTTCTGGTTACTCACAAAACACATGCTCTGAACCAAGGCTAGTCTGTTGCAACATTTGTGGGAAAGGAAGTACCAGCATTTACTTGTTCTTTGTTGGTTCTTATCTGGGAGTTTACAGCTCAGCACTCCAGAGGGTGCACAGATGAATAAGCCAAGCATGCCCTCGCCCTTCCCCGCATTTACGCTCAAGGGGCTGGGGAGCGCCTGCGTGTGTGTTCGTGTGTGTGAAGCCGGGGGCCGGCCCCAGAAGAGCAGGCAGGGCGGGAAAGCAAGTGTAGACGCAAGTTGGACTGACCCGAACTAATGGGTTCGGGCAGCTCAGTTAACGGCCTGGAAACCCCAGAGCTCTGAGTAAGTTCTGACTCACAAACAATCATCCATAAACAAGTCATCTTCCGCTGGTTCTCTCCCAGCACAGGGCAAAACCTTCGGGAAGGGCTTGTGATGTTAATCATTAGCACCCTGAGACACAGGCAGGAGGCCTCCTTCCATTTCTTTATTTCTATTCAGGGGCTTTTTTTCTATCGCTTTTCAACAGGAACATGGCTTTTATTATTGTCGTTGTTCTCGTTGTTATTATTACTATAAAGGAAAATGCTTCTCATTGTGAAAAAAAATCAGACAGTACCAAAATGCATAAAGAAGAGAATAGAAATTACCTGGAGATGCCACCACTGGCATTTTAACGTGTACCCTCCCGCAGGGTCCCCGTGTGCCCAGGCACGCCCTCCCCGGCACACTGATAGAGATTTCTGTTCCCCCTTAGGGGGGCAGCCCGGCGCATCTCGCCTTCTCCCTCCTGCCACAGGTCCAGCAGAGGTCATAGCAGCCCTGGCTGGTGTGGCTCAGCGGGTAGAGCACCAGCCTGCAAACCAGAAGGTTGCCAGTTTGATCCCTGCCCAGGGCACTTGCCTGGGTTGCAGGCCATTTCCCCAGCTGGGGGCATGTGAGAGGCAACCACGCATTGACGTTTCTCTTCCTCCCTTTCTCCCTCCCTTCTCCTCTCTCTAAAACTAAATACATAGATAAACAAAGTCTTTTTAAAAAATAAAACGTCTTAGCAAGACTTAATAAGCCCTTAATGAGCTTCATAAAGGCATTTAAACGTGGCGTTATGATCTCAACAATTTACGGCGGGGAGAACTCCACCTTCCGTGCAGTTGGGAGTGAATTTGTGGACAGGTGAGTGGGGTCGGAAGGACCAGCTGGGTCAGCTGGTGGACTTGCAGACCTGCCTTTGCCGCTTTCCTGCTGGGCCAGTCCCTGCCCCCGCTCTGAGCCTGGTCCGCAGTTGAATACGTGTAACACCCAGTGGGACTGACACTGAGTGGGGCCCATGGCTCTTTGGAGCACTAGGTACTCAGTACCAGGGGCTGAGCAGAGGGGTCCGAGCAGCAGGAGAGGGAAGCCGCTGAGACGGCTCAGCCGTGGAAGAGAGCAAGGAACACGGCATTTTCCTGGGTGAGACTTCAAGGGGACGCCTATCACAGAATCCCAGAAAAACTCAGAGCAGGAGAGCGGGCCTCGGAAATGAGGGTCCTGCCCCCCACCCATGCAGCACTTTTGCATATGTGTCTGTCGCTCACACCACCCAAGGGGCCAATGGGTGGGAAATGTGAATTTTCACTTGAAAGGCCTTCCCACGTCTGGCCCGGAGCCTTGGGCGGAGCCTCGGAGGAGGCTCTGCACTTCTGACACACAGGGCTTCAGACAACTGCTTCCAGCCTCCGGCACCTCGGTTTTCTCATCCATAAAACGGAGCGTGTGATCTCGCTCGACCGGTCGGACGGGCGGGTCAGCGTGAGGTGGCGGTGAAGCGCCCGAATGTGAAAGTGCGTTGGGAATCTAAAGTGTTTTCACTCCAGGAATACGCTGCCTCATCACAACCCGGTTCGCTGCCCAGCTCTGGGGGGCTTCACGCCGCGAGGGACTCACTGCGGCTTCCGGGCAGGGGGTGGTGTTTAGCCAGAGCCCCGCCCCCCCCCCCCCGAGAGCGCCAGGCCCTGCTTTGGGGCTGGAGAGACAGTGGAAGGAAAGACAGACAGGGCCTTTCTCACAGAGCTTAGATGTCGGTGGAGAGAGAGACAATGAAAAGGGAGACAAAAAACTGGCCCCGGATGGGTGGTCTGTGGGTCAGAGCATCGTCCTGATACACCAAGGTTGTGGGTTCGATCCCCAGTCAGGGCACCTAACAAGAGGCAACCAATGAGTGCATCCATCAGTGGAACAACAAAAAATGAATTTAAAAAAATAATAAAATTTTTTGAACCTTCCGTAGTTCATAAACGTGATGATTGGATGTTCGTGCTTTTGTGTGACATGTGCCTCCCACGAACCTTGTTACCACATTGGCACATTACCCGTGTGACATGAAAATAAACAAATAAATAAATAATAAAAAAGAAAGTTTTTAAAGGGGCGACACAATAGCAACAAGATCACTTCAGAGAGAGAGGCACGAGCCCTGCTCCAAACGAAGCAGGATGAGGTGGGCACAGAGGGACCGGGCAGGGGCTGGTCCCCCTCGCTCAGGGGCAAGACTTCCCTGAGAAGGTCACGCCAAGGCCCTGAGACCTGAGCGACAGGGACAGCTCCCTCCAACACCTGGGCACACAGTGTTCCAGAGCAAGGAGACAAGCGCAGAAGCCCCGAGGCCGGAACACACTCCTGTGCAAGGAACTCCGGGAGGTGAGCGGCAGCCAGAGAGGGCGTCGGGCGGGGCCGCGGGCGTAAGCACAGGTGCCACGTGATGTAGTTCGTGTTGTACCGAGATAACCCTCCACTGGGTTTGGGTTGGCTGGGCCACCTCCCACAGGCGGCGCTGGGCGCCCCGGAAAAATGTTAGGGCCCACCGGAGCTCTATCTATGAGCCAGCCCAACCGTCTGAGCTACACCCTAGGCAGACTAGGGCTCCGAGAGAAAGGTAGCTTGGCCATGGTCACTATTGCTGCTGGCATTCAAGCCCAGGTGTCGGATCCTGGCCCCAGAGCCCCCGCCTTCATCCCCAAGGCTACCGCTCCAGGGGGGGCTGGGAGGGTGTTTTTCCGAGGCTCCAAGGCTGGAAGGGCACCCAGCCCCCCCCCCCCCAGCTTCCTGCTTGGGTCTCACTCACTGAGACCCCCAGGCTATAGGCTCCAGAAAGAAAGGGCATTGGCCAGCTGAGCCCTGGCCTGCATCCCCAGCCCAGCCCTGCCCCCTCAGCGGTAGGGGCAGGGAGGAGGGGCCGCTCCGCCGGCCCAGCCAGCCAAGAGCAACCTGATCGCCCAGGAAACCAGGAAACACGGCCTTGAGCCAGACAAAGCGCCAACTGAGCACCTGGAGCTTTTGTTCCCTTTATTCCCCCTGCAAACTTTCCCAGGCACCTGCAGCGGGGCCTCAGGAGCACCTGGGCCTGGACGGGGCTCCCACGAGATCTGGTTCTCCCGCAGCAGGGAGTGGCCCGCCTGGTGACCCTGAGGGAGGTCCCCTGGTATCACAACAACAACCTCCACCACAGCGTCCGCCTTCGGAGCTCTTGCCACACATGGGTGTCATGTCATTTAACCCTCACTCCCAAACCCACGAGGCAAGTACTATTGTCGTCCCCACTTTACAGATTAGGAAACAGAGGCACACGGAGGTCAGGTGACCTGTGCAAGGTCACACAGTAGAAGGAAGTAAAACGGTTTGGGCTTTGGACTGAACCGTAGCCCATCCCTCCCTGTGTCTTTGACCTTGGACAAGGCATGTGCATGTCACTGAGCCTGTCATCTCATTCTGACCTCAGCAGATGACTTTGCGGAGGGAATGACTTGGCGTGTACGAGGTCTCTGGCACATGGCTCCCAACCCAGACACATCCCGCCACCCTCTTCCCCACTTCCCACAGCTCTGTGCCCCTGGGCCCGTGCCCAGCGCCCGGCCTCAATTTCCTCGTCCAAGAAAGCAGCACATCACCACCTAACAGGGCTCCTCCGAGCTCTTCAGAGAGGGATGTCTCATCTTCAGAAAGGGCCACATGCCGGAGACCATCCAAGGAAGGCGGCGTTTCACAAAGTTGCCTGGTCTGCTTTCTCCCAGAATAAACACAGAAACACAAATAGGAACGCCAGCCTTCAAGGCATTTTCCATTCGAGAGAAAAAGCCAGCGTTAACTCACACTGCAGGGCTTGGCGGGTTTTCTCGGAAGGAAACCCGGGAGACAATACGGCCGCAAGTGTTCTCCCTCGTCCCACCCCTGAGACAAGCCACGCACACCACCCAAGGTGGACAGCTGCAGGCTCACGCCAAGTGTGGGGCAGTCCACCAGGGGGTTTCTGCCACGGAAACAATGACAACCACCAGTCGCCACCAGAATCTTTTACTGTGAATCGGCCAATATTTATCAAGTTCTTGTCCGCAGAGGTGCTATGGGCATGTTCGGTCCCCAATAACGAAAAAACGTAAAAACGTAAGTACTGCATCTGTTGTAGGTAACGCGTCAGGGTGGGGTCCCAGCTCTTCCCAGAGGCCATGTCAGTTTCTCTGATCCATGTTTTGGGCATCAGTTGCTCCCTCTCTAGTCTAACCCTGCTATTTAAATCGGGGCTGCCAATCATCCTACATCACTGCCCCCAGGGCCACTGCGATTGGTCCAAGGGAAGAGCTTGTCATCCAGGAAAACCATGCCTATCAGAGGTTTCACCAGGATTTAAACACTGCAGCTGGGCAGTTGGTTGGAGCACCATCCCAATTGTGGGTTCGATCCCCGGTCAGAGCACATGGAAGAATCAACCAATGAATGCGTCAACAAATGGAACAACGAATCGATGCTTCTCTCTCCCTTCCCCTCTCTCTCTCTCAAATCAATAAATAAATTTTAAGACATTGGACCTGCAGAGGAAAACCCTAGTCATCTTGGATTGCTGAGCTCAAAGGAGAGGATGTGGACCAGCTGACGGGAGTTTTCTGGGTGGAGGAGGCCTTTCTGCAGAAGGAGGGGGTGCACACACGCTGAGTGGAGGCATGTCCCCACGTCACAACCCCTCATGCCTGTCCCACCCCCCCCCCCCCAAGGCAGGCTCAGCCCTTCCTGCCCATCCCCTGGTGGTACGGTCCAGTGAGCCAACACATTCCTTTCTGTCCCTTGCAACTCAAGAGCCCGGCATGACCCAACCACCACGCATCGGTCCAGTGGTCAGTCACGAACACGCCCACGCAGCGGGAGAGATGCCATGGGCAGGCCTGGAGGACGTGCCAGGTGAAAGTTTGAAGCAATCAGGTTGTGAAGTCACACACAGACAAGAACAGCTCATTCAGCCACGTCAGCGACTCTTGACTCAGCCCCTGCTTTCGTTACCCACTAGAACAGGGGCTGAGGCAGACGAGGTCCCTCTTCTCCCTGGGGAGTAATGGGAAGGGACTTCCTAGAGCTGGAGAGGCTGGGAGAGGTCCCTGGGGGATGGGAGAGTCTGGCCCGGCAGAGCAGGGCGGGGAGCGAAGCATGAATAAGGACACAGAAGCATAAGAGTGTAGTGCTCCCAATGTCTTTTTTTAATTATATTTTATTGGTTATGCTATTATAAGTGTCCTGATTTTTCCCCCTTTGCCACTTCCTCCCAGCACCCCGACTCCCCCAGGCAACCGCCCCCCACCCTCGTTCCTGTCCATGGGGCGTGCATATAAATTCCTCCGCCCCTCCCCTTCCTATACTGTACTGTACGTCCCCGTGGTTATTCTGTAACTACCTGTTTGTGCTTGGTCACCTGTTCCCCACACCACGCCCCCCCATCTGGCAACTATCAAAATGTCCTCTGTATCCGTGATTCCGTCTCTGTTCTCCTCTGCTGAGTTTGTTTTTTAGATTCAACTGTTGATAGATTTGTGGGTTTTTTGCCACTTTATTTTTCAGAGTTTTGATCTTCTTCTTTTTCTTAAATAAGCCTCTTTAACATTTCATATAATAAAGGCTTGGTGATGACGGACTCCTTTAGTTTATTTCTGGTCTGGGAAGCTCTTTATCTGAATGACAGCTTTGCTGGGTAGAGCAATCTTGGCTGAAGGTCCCTGCTTTTCATGACTTCGAATATTTCCTGCCAATCCCTTCCAGCCTGCAAAGTTTCTTTAGAGAAATCAGCTGACGCTCTTATGGGAACTCCCCTGTGGGCAACTGTCCTTTCTCTCATTGCTTTTAAGATTCTCTCCTTATCGTTAACCTTTGGCATTTTAATTATGATGTGTCTTGGCGTGAGCCTCTTTGCATCCATCTTGTTTGGGATTCTCTGTGCTTCCTGGACTTGCCCGTCTATTTCCTTCACCAAATTAGGGAAGTTTTCTTTCATTATTTTTTCAAATTAGATTCCCACTCCTTGCTCTTTTTCTTCTCCTCCTGGCACCCCTATGACGCAAATGTTGGACCTCTTAAAGTTGTCCCAGAGGCCGCTTATACTAACCTCTTTCTTTTGGATTCTTTCTTCTTATTATTATTCTGGCTGGTTGTTTTTTGCTTCCTTATGTTCCAAATCATTGATTTGAGTCTTGGCTTCATCCAGTCTTCTGTTATTTCCCTGTCAATTGTTCTTTATTTCAGTTAGAGTATCTTTTGTTTCTGCCTGGATATTTTTTATGCTGTTAAAGGTCCTCACTCAGTTCCTTGAGCATCCTTATAAACAGTGTTTTTAACTGTAATTGAACAACAATAAAATAATTTATTTAAAAAACCCAGCGTTTTGAACTCTGCATCTGGTAGACTGCTAACCTCCATTTCATTTAGCTCTTTTCCTGGAGTTTTGATCTGTTCTTTCAGTTGGGCCATGTTTCTTTGTGTCCACGCTTTGGCAGCCTCCCTGCATCTGTTGCTATGTACTAGGTAGAGCTGCTTTGATTCCCTGTCTTGGAAGTGTGGCCTAATGCAGCAGGTGTCCTGTAGGGTCCAGTGGCACAGCCTCCCCTCTCACTCAAGCTGGGTACTCAAGGTGTGCCCTTCATGTGGGCTGAGTACACTCCCCTCTTATAGATGAGCCTTGATGGCTGTTGGCAGATCTGTGGGAGGGATTTACCCGGGCCAGTCGGCTGCAAGGACTGGCTGTGACCACTGACCACTAACCTCCACCCTCCACGGAGAACCAGCTGTGCAGGGGCAGGGTGGTGGTGCTCCGACATGGTCTGTAGCTGTCCACTGGGTGCACTGGCCCTGGGGTTTCTCAGGTGGTGCAGGCCAAGGTCAGCTCCGACTTGTGTTTCACTTGGGGCCACCCTTGATTGATCTATAAAGCAATCTGAGATGGCTGCTACTTGTGCTGGGCTTGGGGATTCCCAGGCAAAGCCAAGCTGTGATGCAAAGCTGGTTGCTGCTAGCGTGGAGCCTGGGGCTCACTGGGGCCAGCTGCTGCTGGTTTGAGAGGATTCAGGAAG